GTATGCTTCCGATCGAAGCTTTTCCATGATTCACCATCGGACGGATGTATCATCTTGTCAGTGTATCGGCGTCCAGTTTTGTGCCACGTCATCTGTTTTGCGGATTCCTCGCTCATGAAAAGCCGTTGGATCCTCGGTATGAAAGGAAGGTACCTCAGGATCTTTGCGCCGACTTTTGTTTGCGTCTTCCGACCATCACTAGATTCTAACTCAATGTACCTAGATGCCTTACACTTCAGACAGTACTTATCGTCAGCATGTTCTCCCCTGAATAAGATGCATCCGTTCGGACAAGAATGTATCTGCTCGTACGACATCTTGAGTGCACGAAGGATTTTATTTGACTCATACGTGTTCTTTGGCAGAACGTGATCATCCGGAAGTAGGGTGCCAACTACTGTCAACAGTTGATCGAAGGATTCTCTACTCCAGCTAAACTGGGACTTCACGACCATTAGGCGTGCAATGGCATCCGGTTTAGAAACATTGGTGCGCCGTGAAGGGGTTGTTGTGTCGCATCCAACATGGCGTAAAATGCCTTTGCGGTTTGCTCGCTCCTGCTACGCACTTCCTTCATCGAAAGCCATGTCATGGTCATTTAACATTTTCGCCACCCGGCTTCAGAATCAAACTCCTCGATCTGTTGTCTCACGACCTCTTCTCTCGCACGATGGTGTTCACCATGCATGGTCCACGGGTATAGTTCTCTACAAATCCATTGTTGACAAGATCTTTAGTCATCTCCTCATATGTTTTCATTGCCTTGTTCTTACACTTCCCTCTGGGGACACCGGGCATGTCGCCGTCTGCTTGCAAATGCCTTCGTCATGAAATCATTGGCCTTCTCAATCCATTCATTTGTGTATTGACCCCTCTTACGATAGCCCGTGTACATCCAGCGACGGTCATCCATCCTAACATATAGACGATATTGCGGTTTAGAGCAATAGAGTAGTAGTGCTAGAGAAAACCCATATGAGATGATAAAGAGACATTCATGTTCTTGGTCGATTCACATAGAAGATGTTTGCTAGATTGGATGATGAGATTTTACCTAAGGTTGAAAGGCCGCTATGTCACTTGTAGATGGAGGAATACATGGAACCAATTTTTTTGTAGCCACAAACATCACTAGCAAGATTTATCGAAGATTGAGGTAGAGCATCAGCAGGTTTTGTAGCGTGTCTCAACCATATACCCGAAAGCACCGGTAGCAAAGGCCTAGCAAACACAACCATGTGGCTAGCACACAAAGGGGCGCTAGGTTCTGTCGCAACACTATAGGTCACATGGCATGACACTACCACAAACAAATCACCGATGACAAGCCCGAGTTACTAATGAATAGATTGTTCAAAGATTTTGGACAACAAGAGTGATATATTTAGCAAGTGGAATACATGTTGATGAGATAGGTACATACTTGTTGATAGCATGAGAAACTTGGACTAGATCATGTGGAAAAATTAACAAAAGATTGGATAATTTCCATATATTTTTGGATGATGAAACGCAACCAATATATAAACATGTATGCTTATGAAAATTATTATCACAACACATATACATATGCAGCAACATGAGGATGACTAAAATACTGCAATCCTAACTATACGTTGTTCTCACATTCGTCATTTACCAATAATTTCAACAAGCTCACTACCAAAATAAAACTCTTTTTAATTAAAGCAAAAAGGCATAAAGTTTGAATCAAGGAAAACAACAATATATATGGCCATTGTTTTGTTAGAAATTTCAGTATGAGAGACTACTTTATTTTCTTATCTTGACTTAGATGTGATATTGTAAAATTAAAACATAAGTATAACATATAACATAAAGAAATTGTGCTTGCTAAAATTTCCAAACTCTCCAACACTAGCAGTGGCTAGTGGAAGAATTGGCACTAACTTAAGAAGCTTGTAAACAACATGATAACTGTTCATGTTTTTTTTGTGTCAACAAGCATAACTGAAAGCTCACATAGGTTCTTCAAACCTTTCATCTCTACACACATGAGAAATCTTCAATTCTTACTCTAAAGAATGGATCTGACTGTCAAGACTGTGCTCACCTTGCTTCAACCGGAGCTTGAGCTGGGACTGGGAGTGGGAGGGCCGTAGGGGGCCGATGGGATGTCTGGAGTCTGGACCGCCAGGCGCCGGCGGGTGGCCGTCGAGTGGTCGCCGCCGGCCGTCGAGGCCCCGACGCCGGTTTCGTCTGCTGTTCCTTGCGCCGCTCCAAGGTGCGTGAGCCGCGAGCGAGTCAGCGAGAGACGGAGAGAGTACCGTGGCGGCGGTGGTGGAGGGGAGGAGGCGGCCGCGGCGGTGGGGAGGCGTCGGCGATAGCGGGGAGGCGCTGGCAACAGCGTGGAGGGGAGGAGGCGGCCGCGGCGGTGGGGAGGCGCCGGCGACGGCGGGGAGGCGCGGGCGATGGCGTGGAGCGTCTGTGGCGCCAGCGCGTGGCCAGGAGGCTATGGCGCAAGTCGCGGGGACGGCGGGGAGGCGCGGCGTGGGGGACAAGCAGTGGCGGGATGAGGATGCGTGAGGCGTGTGTGTGTGTGTGTGTGTGTCTGTGCACGATTTGAGGGAGAAACGGCTAAGTGTTGAATGCTTCTGTTTACCGAGTGCCTAGATGTACGGCACTCGGTAAACTCAAGCACCGCAGCCCAATGACATGTGGGCCTGGTACATGTTTACCGAGTGCCCAGATCTATGGCACTCGGTAAACAGAAGCACCGCAGCCCAATGACATGTGGGCCTGGTACATGTTTACCGAGTGCCCAGATCTACGGCACTCGGTAAACAGAAGCACCGCAGCCCAATGACATGTGGGCCTGGTACATGTTTACCGAGTGCCCAGATCTACGGCACTTTCGGTAAAGCGAGCATGGCATGGCAGCCTTGTGGCGAGTGGGTGGGCCGTGGCTAACCTTTACCGAGTGTTTGAGGTCACACTCGGTAAAAGTATCCATTATTTCATGCAAAACAAAAAGAAAAATGCCAATTTAATCCTAAAATTCACCAAACTTTCACATGAACTATTTCATGTCATCTATTTACTATCTAAAAAATTCCAAGTTCAAATCATAATGTTGAATTTCACTCTTAATAGAAATCCTACTCGTCATTGTGAATGTTTAGCGTCTCTTTGGGAGATGTACCGGTTCGGCAGCGACGAATGTAAAAATACTTCCGAAACGTTATGAAAATTTTTCTATAACATAGATGTATGCTTCAATGTTAATTCTTCCAATCTTGTGATTTATCGAGTTCGATTTTAATTATTACAATTAAATTTACACGATATGTACCTAATTTTCACAAAGAATGAAAATTTTGTGAAATATAGTAAATAAATCGAAATAAATACCATATTTTGGAATGGAGTACTAAATATCATATGTGGATAGAGGAAAAAGAATTTAGGGAAAAACAAGAAATTTGGTTGAATTTTACCGAGTGTTGCGCTAATACACTCGGTAAAAGATAGTGTTTACCGAGTGTTGTGCACTTACACTCGGTAAAACTTTATTATTACCGAGTGCAAATACTTCTACCGAGTGTGACACTCGGTAAACATTTTCGGTCTTTTTTATTTGCTATGAGCGCTTGATGGGCGGAGCTGTTGTTACCGTGATTTTTGCCGAGTGTATGCTCATAACACTCGGTAAACATGTCATGCCGTGACGCCGTTTGGTGCACGGTTGCTATCCTAGGTGACGTGGCACCTCAATACCGAGTGGTTATTTTTACCGAGTGCACCCCTTCGGTAAACTTGTAGTTTTACCGAGTGTCTGAAGTTACCGAGTGTGCTGACTCGGTAAAGCGGTCGACTATCGGGTGTTTATGTTTTCCGAGTGTTGGCACTCGGTAATTGTCGGGGCACTCGGTAACTACACAGTCTCCGGTAGTGATGTACCACACACTGCTCCCACTCCTCGTGCAGGTAGAGGAGGGCCGACCCCAGGCCCAGCACGATCTCGTGCCGGAGCGGCCATGGCAGAAGCGCAGTGTTGCTGGTGCTGTAGAGGTGCTTGTCGAGGCTGCTGTTGGGCATCATCTCGTAGACGAGGAGCAGCTCGCCGCTGCCGTGGCACCAGCCGATGAGCTGCACCAGTTTGCGGTGCCTAAGACGGCTGTGTTATGTTACGAAAGATAAAGTCCGAAATCATATAATTAGTCTTAGCATATAAAAATAGAAAAGATGCTTGTGGATCCGCTTACAAAAGGCTTATTATCCAGTGTGTTCAGAGAACACTTAGCCGACATGGGTTTAAGAGAAAGTCTTTGATTCTTGACTATAAGGGCCTAGTTGAGAATCTGTTTCAAAACAGAGAGGTGTATTGTAGCTGTTTAATATAATGGTAACTGACCGTGACGATGAGGCACGCTCTATACACTGATCTGTGATGAAATGAGAACAAGATAAAGTAAGTAAGTTAAGTTTAAGTCATAAGGTGAGATCAAGGAGAAGAATTTTAGATTGATCTCTTCCAATTGGCCCAACCCCTTAGATCCGCGCTTTGATCGAGGGCGCCCAACCGCTCCATGGTTGGTGGCCTCCCATCGCACAGCGCCATAAAAGGAGCGGTTGGGCGCCCCCCATCGCACAGCGTCATAAAAGGGAGGTGGGGGCCGGGGCATAAGGCACGAGGTTCACCTGAGCCGCCAGACGCCCCACCTACGGTTCCTGAACCCTAAACCGATCTAGTGAGGGGACATTGCCAGCGATGGGAAGACCGCCACCGGCCACCGTCGCCTCTTCACCGCCGCTACTGCGCCCGCAACTTCACCGCCGGACCTCACTGCGTCACCGACAAGGACGCCATGGCAAGCTCGTCTTCTACGAAGGCGGCCGATGGTTTGCACCTCCGTAACCCCTCCCTCTCTCTCTATTTCTCAGTTTAGCTTATTTTCTAGGGTGTGTGTATACTAGATCTATGGCTAGCGATCCTGTTATGCATCTATGAGGCTGATGATCCTCACCTCCGTGGCGTACTACTTCCTCCTCTGCTTCGAGCCCTTGGACACCCTTTTGATGGCGACGTGAAGGTTAATCTCCTTCAAGAATCCTCTGTACACCGATCCGAATCCTCCTTGCCCGAGCTTCCTGTCATCGGCAAAGTTGCCGGTGGCAACAGCGAGTTCGCTGCAGCGGAACCGCTTCGGTCCGGTCCCTTTCTCGAACTCGTCTTCCATCTCCGGCTCCTCGTTGGAGAAGCCGCCGCAGTCTCCCAATCCCAGCTCTTTCTCCCTCGCTTTCTCAAGGATTCTTGCCTGTTTCCTCCGTCGCCGGAGAAGGAGCCATATGGAAAAGCCCAGAATAACGACCAAGGTCGAGACGGAACCGGCGGACACGCCGATCACGATCCCTGTCTTCGAAGCTTCTGTGGTGGTGCAAAAGACAGCGTCAACTCTGTTGCATTGTATTACAGTGGCGCATCAATCGATAGATGATGATGTTTAGCTGGAGAAGAAGGCGGCGGTGAAGGTGGCTCCGATGCTGGCGCCGGCGGCAAGGTGATGTTGTCTAGCGGGGAGAGCAGGTAGACAAGGTAGCAGCTGTACCGCTTGATGGCGCCTCCGGTGTTGTTGTCAAACAGCTGCACCAGCAAGTTGGCGTAGCTAGAGATGCAGCTCGCGCACTCGCTGGTGTTGAGGTCCCTGGTGCACTGGGCCAGCCTGTACATCTTCCGCGCGCCCGTGCCCGAGTACGGCGTGCTGCTGTTGAAGATCCGCAGCGGCGAAGCGGCGACGCCGCCCGTGAGCTTGCTCACCAGCGGCACCCAGGCCGCCCGTAGCGCTTCGGGGGTCACTGGCACCCCGGTGATGGACGTGTCCACGCGGAACACGCCGAGTACCGGAGCACGCACGCGTCGTACTCCGCGCTCACGTTCCGGCTGCCCGGGCACACCGTCGTGATCCCGGCAGGCGCCCCGGTCAGGAAGTCGAGGCACTGCGCCGCTTTGTGGTCCGCGAAGCACATGATGAGGCCGAACGCCTCGTCGGCCCCCGCCCCGGCACTGCCCTTGTAGAACCAGCCGTTGTCGCCGGCCGCCGTGGGGAGCGCCGCCAGGAGCTCGTCCAGGTTCTTCTTGTACTGGCTGCCGTCGGTGTAGTTGTCCGTCGTCGAGCAGGACGGATTAATCGGCTTCATGATAGTGTTGTCCTGCCCGGCGGCCACGACGAAGAGGATGGACGAGGCGGCCAGGAGGAGAAGGCAGGAAGCCATGGCCGCCGGTGACAGGGACTCCCTTGGTTTATGCTCCTTGTCACATCTCTGTATGCAGAAACAACAATTGTGTGTTCAAGCAGTGTGTTGAAACAGCTACAAATCCAGAGAATCAGTCAGCAGCAGTCAAGGTACAGGAACAAGTGCCAGCTTCTTGCACAGTTCAGGATCCGTTTGGAAGTTTCACAAGAGTTGCTAGAAAGGTTTGTAAGCTAGTACTACCACTATTCTGCTCTGAACAGATGTCATGGTTCTAAAGTAGCTGTCTAACAGATATACTCTACCCAGTTGTGGCCTTTGGACCATGTCAAATGTGATTTGGATAATCCATCAACAGTGCCGGCATGCTTTTGGCTTGAATCAAGTTTATTGTCATGCCAGCTCCTATCACTGTCGTTTTAATCCGATTTCTCAAAAAGGACTAGCATGAGATGCCTTACAGTGAAAAAGTGTAGTTCACAATGAAGCAGTGAGGTCGTCACTCGTCAGGTAAAGAAAAGAGTAAAGCTAAGCATCAGTCGAGCGATTTAAGGTCTCTTCTCACTCAGATTTTTCTGCTCAATTCAAGAACGTCATGTGGTCTTCTTCCCCAACGCCAACAAGGTTAGGGTTAGAATTTGAAATTTGGGATCTTACTTAAATCTGGTAGGCTTAGAAGGGTCGCTGGGGAAAGGCCAACCTGACAATGGTGGCGCAGCGTGGGGCGAGGCGGCGGTGGCACCACTGGCCAGACAGTGAAGGAAAAGATGGTTAGGCAGGAAAAGAGTGGTGACGAAGATAACCCAGCGACCTCGGCTTGGACCTTAGATAGCATGGCGGGGCGTATACGGTGGGCTGGGTGGCTGTCGATGCCTGGCGGGAGGCGGTGGCGGCAGAGGAGCTTAGCCGGAGATGAAGATGAGAACGGATAGGAGGCACATCCAATGGATTTTAAGATCATCAGGCCATGGTGGAGGCAACGGTGGCAAGCAGCTTGTCAAGGCAGGGGTCATGTGCGGGCACGCGGAGGAAGAAGGAAAAAAGATAAGGTAGAGAGATATTTGATCTGGACCCTCCATTTTATATGTAAGGGCGAAGGTGATGATTGTCCTTAGATTACTCAGTTGTTACTTAGACAGACTCGAAGAAAAATGGTCTCGCTCGATGTTGCAGTATGACGTCTATCGCTTGTGCAGTAGAGGCGCAAACCCGTAGGCCAAATGTTGCCGCCTAAGTGGAAAAAAACCCACACGATCGGGGATGCACAAGGACCGCCGCCGCGGACGGTCCTAGGCTGCGAGTGTCGTACGTGGTGAGTCTCACAGTGTAAATACCATTCCCTAGACCATTCTATTTTCTCTCTTTTTTATGACTGTGCCAAGCACACATTTTATTAGGAGGATAAAAACAAAATATTTTAGTAGTACTAGCCTATATGCCAACGTAGCTTAAACTAAAGATCAATCCAGTCCGGAAGGCAAGGACAAAACTAAAATGTCACTCTTTTGCTTATAATCTTCAAAAAAAAAGGTTGTCCCAACGGAAAAACTTGGGTGCATGCAAGTTGGCACACGTCCAGGCATTTTTTGGGACACATAACTCCCATGCCAGGCAGTGTGATGGATTTTCTGAGACACGTGGCTCTCATCTGAGTGGGCGTGCACGGAGACGGCGGTGCAGCCAGCCCGCACCCAATTTTTTCCCATCCCAACAACTAGCACCCTGATCGCTGGGCTGGGGCTGGCTGGGCTGGCTGGCCACACTACCGGACTCCCTGAGTTTGCTGAGTGCCCGAAACACTCGGCAAAAGACATAAAACACTCGGCAAATGATTCGCCGAGTGTAACACTCGGCGAACAGCACTCGTCAAAAAAAGTGACGGCAAAGCCAACTTTACCGAGTGTTTTTTATCGGGCACTCGGCAAAGCTTTTGTCGAGTGCCTGACACTCGGCAAAGTTGGAACCGATAAAAACCCGAAAAAATAGGAATTTTTACAAAAAAAAATAGAAATTTTTTTTTATTGGAGGAGGCCCCCACTGGCCAGCGCCCGTGCCCATCTCCACAATTTTTCGTGTCAAATCATGGCAACGCGGCCGAAGGGAATCGAACCCGTGACCTCCCCTGTCGGCAAACCTCCTCTACCACTACACCACGCTTTCATTTGTGTTTGGATTTCGTTTTAGTTCGTAATATATTATACTAAACCGAATGTAAATTGCTTGTTTGAGGCCCTAAACGAATTCAAATAAAAAAGTTGTAAACTACAAAGTTTCATAACTTTTTGAGATCTACACTTTTAGTTTAGGAAGTTTTTCCATCCGAGGTCGTTTACAAAATTTGAATTTTAAAATTTTGAAATTCAAATGCAGTTTTGCATGACAAGATGATTTCAAATCAAAATGTTACCAACTACAATGTTTCATAACTTTTCGAGATCTACAAAGTTTATTTTGGTTGTTTTTCCATCCAAGGTCGTTTGACAAGTTTGAATTTTAAAATTTTGAAATTCAAACACAGTTTTGCATAACAAGATGATTTCAAATCAAAAAATTAACAACTACAATGTTTCATAACATTTCGAGATCTACAAAGTTTATTTTGATTGTTTTTCCATCCGAGGTCATTTGAAAAGTTCGAATTTTAAAATTTTGAAATTTAAACACAGTTTTGCATGACAAGATGATTTCAAATAAAAAAGTTGCCAATTACAAAGTTTCATAACTTTTCGAGATCTACAAAGTTTATTTTGGTTGTTTGATCATCTGTTCATCCGACATGGTCGTTCTAACATTATTCACAAATCTTATATATCTCTCTTGTAGTTTCATAAACTACCAGAGAGATATGTTAGATTTGTGAACAAATTTACTTTTACTTTTTCATATGAAGAAAAGACCAAAACAAACATTGTACATCTTGATGAGTTATACAATTTTGTAGTTGAAAACTTTTTCATTTGAATTAATTTACTGCTTCAAAATGTGCTTTGAAATTTTCTTTGCCGAGTGTAAAAAAAAACACTCGGCAAACAAGCTTGTTTGCCGAGTGTAAAAAAAAACACTCGGCAAAGAGCTTCTTTGCCGAGTGTCAAAAAAACACTCGGCAAAGACGTCTTTGCCGAGTGCCCGAAAAACAACACTCGGCAAACCACTTGACACTCGGCAAAGAGCCGGTCTCCGGTAGTGCCAGCCCCCTCACATGGCTACTATTTACGCGAACTAGCCAGCAATACTTCTCTCTCACATAAACGAACCAGCAACGATACGAACTAGCCAACCAAACAGGCTATAGATCGTGATTAAAAAAAAAACTACATACATGGACTATGTAATCAACACCCAGAAAGTCCCCGACATCTTTGCAAGGACTGTCCATATGCAATATAAGTTTGGAACAAAGTAATCCAATGCTCGTGCCAGTGAACACAACATTCTGAACAACATTATAAATGGTGGTGCCGGTGAGATTTCCGCGTGGCCGCGGACACCGTTGTTGCCATGGATGCCGTCTACGAGGGCGTCGTCGCCTGTGTGATGTCAAATGACCATTCTCATATTTGCTTGTGGCAGATGTATCTGTGGCTTCAATGGGCAGACCCAGCCTTATTTTGGGTAGTCCGAGGCCTACCTTAGATTTTAGCTAAAATTATTATTACTAGCGAGATTTAGAAAGTTCAAATTAAACGTCTAACATTCTTAAGTATTTCAGTCCCCAGACCATCTCTCCTCTCCGGTTGGTGATGGATTGCACTTGGTGTCCGTTGCCTCTGGGCGAAAACACCAGCGCTGACATGATGCCAGTGTTGACCTTGTGGTTGACCTAGTCAATGATCGGTCTGGAATATCCATCTTCAATCTAGCGGTTGAGATTGCTTCTCTTCTCTCCTCCCTCTCTTCTTCCGGACAGAGCGGCCCAGCCTAAGGCCTTGGCGGCAGCGCATGAGATTGGCTGAACGTCGACCTCTGCCTGCAAGCAGGGATAGGGGACGCGGGGGCGACTCAATGGCATATATCCAGATGAGGTCGTGTGAGCTCGTCTGGCCAGTCCTTTGCTCCGAGGAAGGAGCACAGGCGGCTCTCGGTTACCCAAGAAGCAACATGCGGCGCTAGGTGCGCGTGGCGCCATTTATCAAGGGAGCAGTGCACACACCAGCAAACATACATCGACCCAAGAGTCGTTCTCTCAACCAGCCTATTTTTCTTACCTGTAAGTGGCAGAGCCAGGGGCTGGCAGGGGCCATGGGACCCCTAACATATCACACCAATATTTTTTACTAGTATAACTTTATTTATATTAAGAGGGAGAATATAACAAAATTCTTTTCATATATACCTATTAATATCTTTTAGATAACAAAATTATACAAAGCACAACTATATGATAAAATCATTTATATGAGCACATCCGAAAGACACTAGATAATAAAAATCATCCTTATAAGCGCATCTGAAAGACTAGGCAGGTCGATCTTGAGATTTAAGAAATCATAGTAGAGCTACTGTCACCTGGCAAGCTGCCTACCAATGAAAGAATATCGCCTTAACTCCTAGAATACATATATAAGAAAATGTGACCAACCATGTCTAGCTAGTCGATGAATTAACAGTGTCAAGTGGCCGCTAAAATGATCTATATGTCCCTGTCTATATTAGAACTATGTGGTGTCAAATAAAGGAAAGCATGTTGTCAATAAAGAAGAGATTAGTGGTATCAGAAATATACTTGCGAAGTAAAACATGGGTTTTTGACAAATGAAGGCTACAAATAAATATTCAATAAATTTTTAATACTAAGATAACAGTAGTGTGGCACACTAATTGCATGCACAAGCTTCACAAATAACATCACATCATCACCATACTAAAAGTGAGGCTCCACATCTTTCACACCTCACATTAACTTCACAAAGCCAAACAATAGGTCCACATATACATATACATGCACTATATTGCTGTACTAGCCATGTCTAATAATCATATAGAACTATTGACGTGAACATCGTATAAAGTCATATTCAGCA